TTTGTGCAACAACTTCCATAAGAAGTGCTTTAACTTGTTGTGTACCTTCAACCTCCATGTTTTTACTCTTGCATTAATAATGCTTTTCTGATTAGAGCTGCTTTTAGGGGAATCCATGAGCTGAAGTTTTTGATTAACAAGAAAGGAGTAAGAGGAAGAAACCGAAAACAAGCCTTTCTTATCCAGTCCCCAGTAAATTTTATCCTCTCTGTTGGGATTCAAATTATTGATCTTCAAAATGGCATGACAGTCCTTGGCATTAAAGACCTGGGAAACCAACCAAGAGTTCCAATTTAGGCCATTATCAGAAAGAAGGTCCTTGACCCAGATTAGATGACCCACAACAATGTCTAGTAAAACCGGTTTTTGAGAGGTGAGTGAGGGGATCCAATTGATATCAGAGATCCTGGTTGAAACACCATTACCAATTTGGATTTTGAAGCCCTTTACAAAAGTGGGGAGAACCTGTAGCCAGTAGTTCCAAAGCTACGAACCGTTCTGGGACTTGGTTGCATCAAAGATGGATGATGAAGGATAGCACCTGCTCTTAAGAACTCTGCTGACAAGCAGCTGTGGGTGTGCTGAAATTCTCCAAAGTTGCTTGCAAATAAGGGCTTCATTAAAGAGTCTGACATCCTGAAAACCTAGCCCACCTTTATCTTTTGGCAGAGTCGTTTTGTTCCAGGACCTCCAGTGGACACTTTTCTCTTGGCTTTCCCCCTTGCTCCACCAAAAGAATGCACAAAGTCTTGAGATCTCCTTGGCAACCCCAATAGGGAGTTTGAAGCAAGCCATGGTAAAAAAGGGATAGCATTCAGAACAGCTCTGATGAGCACTTCTTTTCCAGCATGGGAGAGGAGTTTAGATTGCCAGCTGCTTAATTTGCCTTTTACTGAATTAATAACATGATCAAAGGCTTCCTTTTTAGTCTTCCCAATTCCCAAAGGTAGCCCCAAGTATCTAGTAGAATGATGCCTACTGATTCCATGGAGCTGATTACAGATCTGAACTTGCAGGTTATCAGGGGAGTTCTTGCTAAATAATACTGAAGATTTTTGCAAGTTTACTTTCTGACCAGTGTATAATCTGAAGTTCTCTAGAATAACAAGAAGATGCTGCACTTGGTCTACTCCAACCCTACAGAACAGCAGTGCATCATCTGCAAACAACAGATGAGAGAGTGTAGGGCCTGGAAATTTTCAGCCCAGATAAAGTGCCAACATTGATAGCATTTGATAACATAGATGAGAGCAGTTCAGCAATGATGAGAAAAACATAGGGAGATAAGGGATCGCCTTGTCTGATGCCCCTAGTTGGGAAGATTGACTTACTGATATGGCCATTTACATTGAAGGCAAGAGAGGTAGAAGATAGACATTCCAGAATCAATTTCACAAAAGGAGGAGCAAATCCCATTTTAAGCATGATACCATGTAGGCTTTTCCACTCAATTCTATCAAAAGCCTTCATCAAATCTAACTTCAGGGCCATAAAATAGTGCTTACCATTCCTGTGCCTGTTTAGGAAATGAAAAACCTCCTGTGCAATGATAACATTGTCCAGTAGTTGTCTGTCTTTTAAAAAAGTTGATTGGCAAGGATTAATGCATGGATCAAGACAATGCTGCAGTCTAGTGGCTAGGAGTTTGGATATAGTTTTGTAAACCACTATACACAGGCTTATAGGTCTGTAATGTTCGATAAAATCTGGGTGTTTGCATTTGGGGATCAATGTAATAACAGTTTGGTTCCAGTACCTAAGAATCATACCAGAAGAGAAGAAACTTTTGACTGCTGCTGTGAAGTCCTTTTTAATAACATCCCAAAAGTGATGATAAAACAAAGGATTCATCCCTTCAACCCCAGGTGCCTTCTCAGGAGCAAGGCTGAATAAAGCAGATTTAATCTCTTCATCCTCCACTGGTTTAAGAAGATCATTATTCATTTCATCAGTGATGGAATTAGGAACAAGATGTAACAGGTTGTCTTCTCCTCAAGACCCCTCTGAAGTGAACAAAGAGTTGTAGAAGTCTGTGATGTGGTGCTCAATCTCAGGCTGGGTTTGGTAAGTCATATTGTTCCTGTCCACCAGTCTGGTAATGGAATTCATTTTCCTCCTGTGCCTGACATATGCATGAAAGAATCTGGAATTATTGTCCCCATGTTTAAGCCAAAGGTGTCTGGCCTTCTGTTGCCAATATTGTTCTTCCTGATAGTGAGCTGCATTGAGGTCTCTCCTAGTTATGCCCCATGCTTCCCAGTCCTTGTCTCTCCCTTCACAAGATAATGCTTCAAGTTTGGCTGAAAGCTCCTCAATTTTTCCAACTGACTGCTTTCTGAATTGAGAACTCCATCGAAGTAAGGCCAACCTTGTGTTTTTTATTTTTTCCTGTAAAATGAAAAAAAAAAGGAGTTCCCAAGTGTAGTTCTGACCAAGCTTGTTTTACCACCTCAGAACAGCCTTCCATAGATAGCAATCTCTTGTCAAAGCTAAATCTCCTCTTGGATTTCTTCTGGTGAGAGCCACTATCAAGTAATAACATAGAGTGATCTGAGGCACTCTTAATGACATTTTTAACAGAGGCATTGTGGTACTGTTCCATCCAAACAAGAGATGCAAATCCACAGTCAAGCTTCTCCTCAACGAACTCTGCAGAATCTCTGTTATTTGTCCAGGTGAACGGGTATCCTGTCATAACAATCTCTTCCATTTCCATTCTGCCAATAAAGCCATTAAAACCAGAACAGGTTCTGTCATCTCTGTCCCTTTCTTCCTATTTGTCTTCTGGAAATCTGATGTCATTCCATTCGCCAATGATAAACCATTTATCACCCCAACCAGATTTATCCTGGTTGAGAGTATTCCATTGGCTCTCTTTAATGATTTTATCTGTGCTCAAATAAACAAAAACTCCCCAAGAATTCAGCCCGTCCTGATCAATGAATTCAACTGCAATGTAACAGTCTTTACTGACAATTTGAGTGACAATAGTGTTATTGCCCCAAAGAAGAAGCATCCCTCCACTGAGACCTTGAGGGTCCACAATTTCAAACCTATTATCAAATCCCAACTTCCTGATAACAGTTTTAACAAAATGCTGTTTGTTTTTAGTTTCATATAAGAAAACAAAACCCGGGTGGTGAGTCCTGATAGACTCTCTGATTTGGGAAACCGTAGAGGGCCTACCCAGCCCTCTACAGTTCCACACCGCAGCTTGGATTTGTCACTCGGGTGCCATTCGAGGCTGGCATCCCCCACCTTACATTCAGTCACTTTACTTCTCTTTCCGTCATCCTTTATGAGCACCAGTTCAGAGTTATTCTCCTCTTCAGTGTCAATCTCTTGCCTTTGCCTCTTTCCACTGAGGATAATGGTGTCTTTGATCTCAGAAGGGTCTTGTCTAATAAGTCTGCCTTCTCCACTTGAAGATCTTCTCCAGGTTTTGGGTATGGTTTTCTGATTTATATGAGGGTTTTGGATAGAAAGAGGTAGGGAGAGTTGAGTTGGTTCAAGTTCCATGTCTTTGGGATTATGGGGTTTCGAGATTTCCATCACCATTAGAGATGATTCTGGATAAGAAGTGGTAGAGGGTTTATTCTGAACTGGGTTAGAGGATATTGGAGTTAAAGGTTCAGCAGGTGATGGATTCTGGTGAGCTTGGGGATGTGAATCTCCTAGAATGGGAATAATTTGATTATTGTCTTCAACATGGCTGGTAGAAGTATGGAGGGGGGTGTGCTGACTTGATGATGGATGGGTTTGATTATCTGAGGAAGGAGACTGTCTGGATTTAGAATTAGTCACATTTGCCCAATTTTGGAAATCTGGAGCACACATCCAAGCGCCATATTGCCTTCTTTCAAACTTTTGGTTTTAATATCGTCTAATCTCTTCAGGCATCCTCTCTCCAGATGGCCAATGAGACCGCAGTAATGACAATGATTAACAAGTTTTTCATATTTGAAGCAAACAGTTACTGATTGCTCTTCCAATCGAATGTGAGTGCATCGGGGCAGAGGCTCTTTCAAATGAACTGTCACTAGCAACCGCATAAGGCGTCCTCCATGGCTGCCAGCTCCCACAATAACCACATTTTCCACTCTTTTAAAAACTTCTCCAATCTTCAATCCAACTTCGGTACTAAGCCAATTGAGGGGGACATTGAAGACTTGCACCCATAGGTGAATCTCAGAGAATATGTCGTGAGTGATGGATAGCCCAGTTCTCCATTCTGCCAATACCAGATATTGGTTATCAAAAATCCAATTAGTACCTTTTGCCACACGGAGGAGATCATACGTACTTTGGAAAATAAATTGGAAGTAATTTGGTCCCAGTTCTTTGATCTCCATAGACTGTTGGAGTCGCCAGATGTTGCCCATAGTGCGTTTAATCCCCACCCAACTAGCGCTTCGGTCGCCAATAACCTTACCGAACAAGCTACGATGGCATTCTTCATCGCTTATCTTAATGTCGCCCTTAGCTATGTCAGTAAAATTGATTTCTCGTTCCGACAGAGAGATCACTCGGAGACGATGGGCTAATTCCTCATCCTGCCCAACACATTGGGAGGGCCTCAAAGGCAATGAGGATTCGTAACTCTATAACCAATAACAACATATGATTGTTCGTGACTACAAAATAAAATATTTTTTTTTTCTTAAAAGTTAATAAAATAACTTCATCAAGCTTGCAAAAATATTTGTGTATACGACGGAAAATTTTATTTATCACATCATTGAGGCTCCTTATTTTTTATTTTTTTTTAAAAATGACTGCATAATAATATAATATTCATTGTATACAAAAAATAATAATATCTAAATTCTAACATAATTTATATAATAAATAAAAATTTGATTATATATAAAAAAATCTCCCGCGGCCGGCCGAACTATTAATAAGGTATAATTTGATAGGTAAAGTTTATTAGGCATTTGATAGGTAAAGTTTATTAGGCAAAATTAAATGTTATGCTAGCAATTATATATATATAGATCTTAGACAAACCTTTCAATCATATTCTCTTCACAATATTTAGCAGCTTCATCTCGGGACATATCAGCAAGATACCTCTCCAAGGCACAACTGAAAGGAATTATAGTTTCACCACCATGCTCTTGTACCCTAAAAGAAAAAGTCAATCTCAATATGCAAGGATGTGCAGGAAAAGAAAGGTCAAGTAACAACATAGAAAATATAGGTAAACATACCACGCGTGGATATCTGGAAGAAACTTGTTCATCTTGCTTTTATAATCGTGCTCATTCATGTTTACCTGTTCATATCACAAGCCAAAACATAGACAAGTTACTTGGAAAGAAGGAGAGACACTAAGGTGGCGAATCGGATATATATACACATAAAAAAATAAAAATAAAAAAATTACTCATTTCCAAAAGTTTTCACACCAAATATACTACAGCTTTTGCAGTGAGCAGCTGAAAATTATTGAGGATCTCAACATCCGCAGCGTTCCAGTCCACCATACGCACGTCTTTGCCCTCATCCAGAGAAGCTTTGACCTTGGAGATACAAAAACTATCAATCAGGAATATGCTAATCCTCAATAAATCCTTAAAGATACACCATAATAGATGAAGCTTGAAACAAATTAAGAAATAAAAAGTATACAGACCCTTTGGCATAACTCATGCTCGACTTTAAGCTGCTTGTCATTGCTCCTCTTCATGCTCTTTTTCAGTTCCTCAATCCTCCTTTCCATGAACTTGATGTCCTAATAGCCAAGACAGCTAATAAAACTCACCCACGTAGACAAGTAAATAATTTTTCTTTCGAAAACATAACAAACTGACCAATGAGGCGCAATTCGGAAGATATAACATGTAGATCCCTCACAGGGTCCACAAAGTCATCGGCATGAACAATATCAGCATCTTCAAAAGCACCTAAACGATAAATCAATCTTTACACACATAATTTCTAATTGTAAAGTAGAAGCTACATAACCATCCCCACTCTTTCTCTCTTGCGCGCTCACACACACTGAAGCCGCACAAATTGCCGAGCCAGCAAGAGCAAAGAGAGGGAAATCCAGAAAAGCACCGAAGCAAACATCCACCAGCGTGGCCAACATCATCGTCGGAACCCTAGCCGAATCCCCCTGCCGCCGCGGCCGAGCCGCGGGCGGAGAATCCCGCTGGAAAAGAGAACAACCAGAGCCTTTCGAACAAGAAGACAAAGAAAGGAGGTGCTACGAAAGGGGAAAAAGGCAGCAGGGGGTGGAGGTGTTGTCTTTCGAGAAAGAGTCGTAGGAGATGCAGGAAAAGCTCGAGAAATCGAAGCTCGAGAAGGATCAGACAGAGGAGACAGAGGAGATGTTGAAGGTGAAAGAGGAATCTCTAAAGCAGAAGGAGTAAGAGCTAGATACGAGGGATTGAGAGCAAGAGAAACTGAAGACCGAGCTTAAGAAATTGCAGAAGATGAAGGAATTTAACCCCACCACGAATATTTCCCTTTGGGCTCTCACTGAAAGAGCACGAGCAAGATAAGAAAGACAAAAGGAAGAGTACCATGAAAAAGCCGTCCCCTCTCCTCCATATGTTCTGTGGTGCAAAGGAAGTGTACAAGCTAAACAAAGAAGAAGAAACTGCTCACCTCAAGAAAGAAGAGGAAGTGTAAAAGTCGTCCCCTCTCCTCCATATGTTCTTTCATTACTCATGTAATGAAAGAAGAAAAATGAAAGAAGAAAACTCTTATCATCAACCATCAGGAAGCATAATCATTAGCTTACATAAAACATGAAAGATTCCATCGACTTCACGGATATGAGACAGAAAATTGTTCCCCCTCCCTCGTCCTTTGTGCGCGCCTAGCACAAGTCCTAGAAGATCAATGATATCGAGAAATGCTGAAACCTATTATAAAAAATAAAATTAGTATCACTAAAGTCCAAGATGGAGATCAAACAACTCAATCACCAAACAAGAAGATCACAAATAAAAAAAAAAAAACCTCGCTCTTCGGCTTGTAGAGCTGACAAAGCCATTTGAATTGCTCGTCCGGAACATTCACTCGAGCTTCATTCGGTTTGATGGTACAGAAAAGGTAGTTCTCGGATGGTATATCTTGCTTGGTAAGAGTGTTAAACAATGCCGACTTCCCGACATTGGGCAGCCCAACCTGAAAATCCGCTGAATTTAACAACAAAAACTACAGAAATCCTAGAACACTAGAATCGACAATGCAGCTGCAGACTACTTCATGACACTTAGAACACTTAAGAAATTTACAATTTCCGACAGAATAACTAGGTATTTCAAAGCAGAATAACTGGTTAACATCATAATCAATGAAACAGAGAAACGTAAGAAGTATAAAACTTACTATTCCCATTTGTAGGGAAGAA